CTGCTCCTGTTTCCCAGCCATCCTGAGCGTCCGCAACTGCATTCACCAGAGAGTTTCGTGAATGTAACGGGTCACCTGAGGACGACACACAGAGCGACAGCACAACACAAGGACGCACTTGGGTACCTGCTACGGCTCCGTACGTCGGTCGCCTACCTGGTTCCCTTGCGCTAACGACAGCTTGCCTCCCGCCTCTTATGCATATCCCCGGTTCAACCCTATACCCAATGCACCTGTAGTCGCTCCACACTCACGCTTTTACACAAGTGCCACAAATGTTTGTAATTGTGCTTTCGGGTCAAATTTGAGTGAGATGGATTCTTTCTAGACCACTAAGAGAGTCCGGATCAATCAAGGAAATCGGTTGTTCTAGGTAATCTTGAAACTGTGCAACTGTAATATTCTCTGCTGTGTGTATTTTATGGGACCGTGGTGACAGGTTGGGGGGGGGCTCGACACTGTCAGCAGAACTGACATAGTAATGCAGAATGTGAAGATGCCTTCGAACACAGAGAGCTTGTACCTGGCACTGTACCTGCCCGCCTGCAATGTAACAATATAATCTAAAATACCGCAAATTGAATCAAATCAATGTGTCAGCCCTCCAGCAGGGCACTGGTCGGGCAGTGCAGGGATGAGCCTGGCCCATCAAGTCACACAAGGAACCAAACACAGGGACAGAAAGAGAAAGGAGATCGGCTAACGCCTGCTCTCCAAAAAAGGACTGCATAAACAGGGATAACCTGGCAGCAAATGTGGAAGCCACCATTTGCAAGTCCCAACAACATGCATTTTCCTACTACTGCCATTGAATGGCACTGACCTAGCTGTTGCAACAAACCCATGTTTTATGGTTGTGTTTTGAAATGTCTAATGTTAAATAAAATATTGATAATTTGTTGTTAATATAATCGATATTTGCAGTAAGGACAGTGTCCAATGGTTGGCAATAGTTATGTGGTTATATTATACAGTTCAAGAATGTTCTTGCCATTCTTCACTATTAATAAAATATATTTAAATCATTGTGGCTGTTATGTTGTCATGTCTTAGGTAAAACAGGACATAATATAGTGTGATATAGGGTTTTTTTTTCTCCAAAAACGAATGGTCTAGAACCTAAAAAACACACTCTCATGCTATCTAAAATCTAAAATCATACATTAAGGATTAATATTGAATTTATTAATGTTAGATAGGCTCTTTACATTTTCTAGAATAGATCTGTAGTTCAAAATATGGTATAGACACTTTTTATGACTTTCTTGGACCATACTGTGAAGGCATTGGATATGAACAGTTTATATATGGCAAAACATTTAAGGATATTCAATATATTAGTCAGTTACTTTCTGACTTCCCTCCTCTGTCAACCCCTAGTCCATTGAGTTCTACTGAAGACATACAATAAATCTTTAAAAAACAGGTCAAAGATATATTGTTTAATTTTTTTAACCCTAACGCCAAGTGTATCATATTTGATTCTCTTTTTGAGACCTCTACATCATCAGGTCACTGTAGTTTTTAGCAACCATTACTCTAACAGGAGGAAATCATTTGTTTGGGGATTAATACATATTTGGCGCTTTAATTAGTATTTACAGCACCAGGACGGTGTATGCATGACTGAGACAAAATACGTGACAGTGGTAGAATCAAATCTATACAGGCTAACCATCACACCACATAAACCACATCTATCAAGTGGTTACACATTTGTAGAGTCACTTGACCAGGACTTTTGTGTTTAAGCATGTGGAAACGTGAAAGGAGAAATAAATTATTTCTAAATTCCACATGTAACACATACTTCAGTCTTTCTTCAGAAGATTTTGAATGCGTCTCAATCATAGTGTGCTAATTTCCTGAACCCACTGTGTGCTTATCTTTAACATTTCTTTTAACCTCCGCAACATCTGTGTAGAATTCTTGAATTTAGTTGTTAGGGGGAAAAGGGGGTTTTCCAAATGAAAATTATGCACTTACAATCTTCAAACCATATAAGAGATCAATAAGAGCTGCTATAACTGGATCGAAGGGTATTTTTTTGGTTTACCGAAAAGAAGCTGAGCTACTTTTTCCAGCTTTATATAATATTCACCATTCATTTTAGATACTTTAAAGACCAACATGGTTGTTGTTTTCTTATAATGTGTTTTATATGGGAAACACATTCTGATTGGTTGTATTTATCCTCCAAATGTCTCCAAGTGAATTCTACTCGACATTATTAGATAAAGTTTCCTCTCTTTCTAGCAGGTGACTTTAACTGTATCGTGGATCCTGAGGTAGACCGTCATCCCCCCAACCAAGGCTGCTCCTTTAAATAACAAGGGTCATGAGGAAGAAATGCTCACATCAAAATCTGTTTGATCAAACATTGTTTCCAACCCCCATCAACGTTGTTTTTCGAATAGCCTAATTTTATACTTTGAGACTTAGATGGAGTGGAAGAATGCATTATAGGTAATGGGTCATCTGAGCGCTGATACTGATATTTTTTTAGTCACGCCACCATTCTCTCAACCTCCCTCGTGTCATTGGTGCTTAAATATTTTCCAGTCTGGGCAGCCCCTCTTTTGTGGCCTATTTGGAAAAGCAATTTTTAGCAGTTGACATAAATGCAGATAGAAATCCTTCAACACTTATCTCATATTGTGTAGCTACTCGAATATTCACCAAATTATTGGCAAGTAGACTTGAAGGACGAACCTCTTATAATCACAGGCTTCTTTAATAATAAGGTGTCTCAGACCAATATGAGGAAATTACTCAACATTATCGATATATAAACTACTGCTTGTTTTTCGCTTGACACGGAAAAGGCCTTTGATAGAATAGAGTGGCCTTGCTTACTTAGTACCAAGGAATGGTTTGGCCTTTTGTAACGCAATTCACAGTGCTTCCCAGAAAAAGTGCAAAAATAAAAGAAATCACGTCATTTAACAAGAACATCTGTTTGATTCTGGTGATGAAGCTTGGTTGAATGTCACAACTCTCTCTCTCACTCTCCAACCATGTTTTCTGTATTTTACTGTCAACTATAAATGTAAATAAAATCTACTTATTTTTTTCCTTTTTACAGTAACACTTTCATGTGTATGGTAATATTTACATTTCTCAGCTCTGTTATACTACGAATTCCAGTAAAAATGTAGCTTAATTCATTATTACCCTTGTCATTTATTACTTTGGAAAATGTTTTCTGATAGTTAATGTATTCTGAATGTAAATGCATTGGACTAAAATGTTTCTGAGACAAAACTGTGCTATCGACAGTGCAGTTGGCACAATGCAGAAACAAACAGCAGCAAAGTTCACTTGCAGAGCAAACAAGTCTGTGTGGGAGAATGCTTTGCCATCTACACTGTTTGATTTGCACCTGCAAAATTCACCAAGATGTGTTTCACAAGCAGGTCACCCCACATCCTGTGACAATGAGAGAATATTTATACAGCCTTTGCATAACACTAAGTGTTTTGTCCTGATTCTGGACAAAAAGTAGTGAACACAATTCTGGTATAACTGTTTGTTTGTGTGTATCAGAGAGAAAGAGGAAGATTACCTTCCTGAATAATACATTTGCACTGCAGAGAAATACTTACTGTTGAATTCCTCTTCCTCTGCGCTTACCGGGGCATCAGTTGGGTCTGTTTGACTGGATGAGTTTTGAAAAGCTGCAATGAAGACAGGTAAAGACTGTCAGTAACGATATTAGCATGAACCCTATACAAGCTTCTCATCAACACACCACATCAAACACAGCTACCACAGGACTTGACCAGAGGTGTGATTTGTGTGTGTGAATGGAGTGCAGTGTGGGTCAAACATACAACATCACCATGTGTTATCTTCCACATTTCACACAGTAAACCACTTTTGTCTTCCCCTTGTAGACCTTTTATAATTAACACCAACTTTATGTTTTCCACTTTCAGGCACCCAGACCGTAGGATTAAAAATGATTCAAAGGACTTATAATAATATGTGTAGTGAAATGCAACAATGTGGCACGCTCCTAAGGTTAAAATAAGTATTAGAAATATAAAACAATTCAAGATTAAAAGATATAAATACATGCTAAAAAATCAAAATGTACACAAAAGTCCATAACGCTTCCAACACAATACAGTACACACAATCGTGAATAGTTACTGAGGAATGAGTGAGGAATGAACCAGGAATAATGACGATTAATGAATTGTTAAGAAGTAGTTAGTGAATAACTCCGACTATATAGTAAATAATTATATAGCAAAAAAGATTTGTTAGAGAACTGACTGGGAGATACTAAGTCATCGACTAATGATGAGTAAATAAATATCTGTGAATTGACATACTGACCACTTTCTTCTTGAGTGGTTCCTGATTAGCTCTGTACCAGCTGCTGAGCGGCACAAAACTATTAACGGCTATAAAAAATTATTAGTTAATAGCTCTTTTTGTGCCCCCTCAATAAAGTGATATTTATTAACTAATTATTACCTGATGGTGATTAATTAATATAGAATCTCCAAGTCAGTTCTCTAATAAATCATCACAATAGTCAGTTATTCACCACTTTCTAACAATACATTTATCAATTATCAATTAATGATACATTTATCAATTATCGTTCCTTATTTGTTCTTCACATGTTGTCACATGTGTACCGTATTGTAACATTTTACCCCTCATGGTATTTTATTTAAAGAAAATGATGCAATTATAAAATTCAAACCTACAAAAAATAAATAAGAGCAAATAAAATATAACTGGACACACATTAGATTACAAGCTACTGTATCTCTTCGAAAATACATATAATAAGGTATAGCCAACTTTGCTGGTAGTTTGCCACTAAAGTTTTTCAAAAAATGATTCCACTCCTCAAATAGCAGTGTTTCTTTATCCATGTTAAATGTATAGTTAATTACTTTTCTTATGATAAATATTAGGCAAAACATTTAAAATTGAATAAAGTAGGTTTGTTTATGTGCTGCTATCCTTTTAGTTTAACTGGATCCAGCTGAAGTAAGAATTAATGGTGTTAACACTAAAATAGCATTAAATAAGTCAAGTCAAGTCAACTTTATTGTCAAATA